GGAAAACGCGACAGGCGCCTCCATGTTGCTGCTTTATTTGCACCTGGTCATCATCATCATCATCACCGGGCTGCCGCGGTGCAGGACAAAAACGCACCGATTTCACACGCATGCACTGCAGCGTTCTCCTCAAACCACACATCATGACTGAGGATTTAAACCATCTGATTCCTCCATCTTTACAAAGAGAAAAGATCAAACTCACCGTCTGCAAACCGGCTCCTGTTTCCTCCCCCAGCAGCAGCACCGAATGTGTGGAAGTGTGTGTGTTGATGCTGTAGAGAATGATGAGTTGTGTGCGTGTGTCTTGAGGGGCCGTGCCCGGTGTGTGTGTGTGTGTGTATGTGTGTCCGTCCCCCCCTCAGCCGCTGCAGCAGCAAGCTGTGGTCCACACGGATCCTCGGCTCTCCTCCTCACCAGCTCCTCTCCGCTGTCAAAACCAGCTCCGGCCCGAGATCGTCTATGACCCGATGAAGAGCATACACTCTGCAGCGGGAGTCGACTGCGCAACCGTGGGCGGCGTCAGAGCGCTTGCGCGAAGGGGGGGGGGGGGGGGGGGGGGGGGGGGGGGGGGGGGGGGGATTAATAGCTTGCATGAATGCATGGGATTTATTTGGGAGTGAAGACCATAGTAATACACTGCTTCCATCTTTGTTCCACTGAAAGGACTCCAGTCTCTGTGATGGATGTGCCTGTTATTTTAGTTATTGATGGTGATTGATCACTTGTCATTTGCTGATTGATTGACAAGTCACGGAGAAGCACGGTTTCTTGCAGCCAGCCACCAGGTGGCGATCGAGACGCTTTGGCTTCACTTTTGGGGTGCCATCACGTCACCGATCTTTATGTTGGTAATACAGTTTCCATTTTTGTGATACTGAGAAGACAATGACTAGGGCTGCAACTCACTGTTATTTCTATTATTAATTAATCTACGTATAATGACCTTAATCAATTAATAATGTTGACGTTTAATATGAAATATATTGTCAGTGATGAAGAGCAAAAAGAAAATGGTTGAAACTGTGAATTTTGACATTTTTGCTTGAAATTTAGTAGAAAAATCCATTAACAATAGGAGGTTAAAAAAAACCCATCAGAGTGAGACATCTTTCTTTTCCACTCACTATCTGTGTGTGCAGTGCAGTGAGAAAAAGAAGGGGGGGGGTATAGATGAGTTGCAGCAGGTCGACCTGCACACACTGACATAAACAATGACCCTGCACAACATGTGTTTCAAAATAAAGTCGCTGGAGCATAGTTTGTCAGTGCAGCTTTTTATTTCCTATTTATACTTGTTGTACATATATAATCAATATTTTATCCTTTGATTTGCTGAAATCATCCTATAATTGTTTGTTTGACGTTTTATTAATAATTAGCTTAATCGCTTGCGCTTACTTTTTTGTTTTTGCCGGTTCTAGATGTAAGGTAAATAAGAGCATGCACAGACGTTTCCCAGTGTCCAAGAGACAGGTGCTTCTTTGTCAAACACTTGACTGCATCCTGTTCTGAACTGCAGACCCTTCGTCTCATATGACAGCTGTGTGTCAACGCCCCCTCGTCCCACATCACTCACTTCCAACCTGCGACAGACCAGGCATGTCTTCACACACGTTGTCATGAAGCCATCAATACACTGTTTCCACTCTCCTCGTCTGCCAGAACTCACACGCTCACACACGACTAGTGTTTATACTGCAGCTGCACATTTTCCGCCATTAATTTCACTGAAAAATGTCAAGCGTCAAAAATGTGTGTGCTGGGCTTTTAGGGCTTGGAGCTCTCTTTCAGGCATGTTCATCAGCACAGCGTGTGAAAAAAGAGGGAATATACACGAACTGCTTCTTCACATGATAAATGCATGTAGTCACACTCATCCAGGCCGAGGGGCAACAGCGTTCACAAGTGAGTCATGTGGCGTTTGCTGCGAGTAATGGTGACAAGGCCAAAACAAAGAGGGCCGATGGAGCTCTGGTCATTGCACGTGGTCTTTAACACCAGATAAACAATGTGTTGGGGTTTCTGTGCATGTATGTGCAAGATGATGGACAGATGTTCCGGAAGGGGAAACACAAGGAGCCAAAGATAGGATTATATGATATCTTATTTCATAACAATTACTGGTCGGTGATAGGGTTGATACTCCTGGAAAAACAAGCAAGAGACCGAAACATCCCACCACTGCCTTCTCGTCAAAGTTTGGCCCCAAAACACAACTGCTCAAAGTCAACTTTTCCATGATTCACTCGCTAACTTCTGGTTTTCGTCTTAACTTCAGCGGTGGATCATTCTGTCCAGATGAAATGATTGGTGGTGGACTACAGACAGATATTCATCCCCGACAACTTCATTTATCACTGGCTATCAGCAGAATCAACTTACCAACCGTTGCTTTAAAGTACAAGCAGTATCGATTTGATGTCTGTGCAAGATGCAATAGAGGACAAAGACTTCCATGCAGGGCAGTTGGACAAATAGGATGTGCGTGTAGGTGTGTCCCCTCGCTAACCGACTGGCAGAGACCTGCGGAGAGCCACACCACTGTGCAAACTGCTCAGCCTTTGCTTTTCAATTCCTTGACGTGACAACAGACAATGTTTTTCCTGGCACCGTAACATGACCAAAATGCCGCTGTTGAGTGTGAAATACTCCCCAGCGCTTTGGACATATTTTCAGAAACAGAGAGTCTTCTGTCTCTCTCATCCCGCATCCCAACATTTTTACTAAAAGCACAAATTAAAAAGATAATGCATAATAATCACTGTCATGTTCCAATAACAGTTTATATATTTAGGATCCACTCCAAAGCTTCTCTGGGGAGCTGTGTACTTTAAAACCAGTTTATACAGGCTTGGGTATACCATGGCAAGACAATACCTCTTTGATAGTAACCACATACTGTTATTGTTTACACAGCAGCCTCCCTAACTTGGGGTGTTGCTAACTGACAGGTTTCTCATGCACTGCTTCTCCTGAAGTGACCCGGGCAAAGGACGGGAGGGATCAGTAAGGATTTCACTATGTGAATCCTCCTTGAGCCCTCTGCGTGATTTTGTCCTCTGCAGTGACAGATGGAGACATATGAATCAGTTCCTTCTCTCGTTTTTATAACTGTGTGAGCTTCTCTTGCACACACACACACTTCTAACCCCCGAGGGACCATTTTCTTGGTTGCAATGACTTGTTAGATGGTTCTTCTTATGTAACCATGTTTACATATTTGCAGCTGCAACCCATCACATTGAGGTCGGCTGCAAATATGAGAAAAATAAAGCGAAGTAATGACAAAAACAAGGTATGGCAACTTGTTTGAACTTCTCCTCGTGCACTTTCATGTTAAGTGTGTGTGTGTGCCAACTGCAGGAGCTCGATAACGAAGGAGAAGAAGAACACAGCGCTCAATAGGAAAGTTAAATGTGATCACTTTTTTTAGGTCGATTGTGTAACACGTCTGCCAGATGTGAGATAATTTTAGGCAAATGTTGGCTCACATACATCAGGAAGATTATAAACGAGAGGGGAACTATAATGGTTGCTAGGGAACACCGTGAGACCAGACTATCTAATTCTGAGGAGGAGGAGGAGACGGACAGCTCCTGCCACAACATGCAACTAATAACGCAGCGGCATAAACTATCTCCGGTATCTTTCTCTATATGTATATGTATTTATCACTCCTTCATGTAATCACATCTGGCAGGCTTCAATTAACCTCCACACTTTGGCCCTGCGTCACGCTCAGGGAAGCAAGGATGAGCATCGCCCGAGTGTTTATCTTCTGATCACCTCATTTGTCCTTCCTGACTGCGCTCGCCAGAGACACACAGTCTGACAGGAGAGTTAAATAAGAGACTACAGAGTCTCACGAAACCTCTGCTGTCAAAATTTAAACCGTTTGTTGACGTCTGTGGTGAGGGTTTAAATTCCACATGAACGTTGTACATTTTTGGGGGCCAATACCTTAAAGATATGGATTTATATGTCGATAAAAAGGGAAATAATTCGCAAGGTGCCGTTATTAAACCCTTAAAGAAAAGTAATTGAGGCTTGACACTTAACCCGAACCATAAACTTTGTGGTAAATTACTATAAATAATTGTAAAAGTGAGATCTGTCCAAAGAAATTTCATGGATTAATTTGTTTGCCGGCTCAATGACTCGGGTTTAGCACTAGTTTAGGTTTAGGTCTTTTTTGTTTATTCTAAGCAACGGTGTTGTATTTGATGTAAACCCTGAGTCAGATATGTTGGATTAAGAAGATAAGGCATTCTTTACATTGGATGTAAAATGTGAAAGTCTATTTCATTCAATTTTGAATAACTAACTGATCATAGTTTATTTTTTATAATCACATAGTTTCGATGATAAATGCTTAACTTCTGCAGTGAAGCGTTGACCTTTTGGGGTTATGGTTAAATGATGAGGGTTGAACCAAATGTATGTAACATAAACACTGAGCCCTGACAGAGTGAAGCTCAAGCTGGCATTGGGAGAGAAAAAGCCGGGGCCATCAATCTCTCAGTCAAACCAGTTGTAAGACTGACAGGAGAGAGGCACAAGTGAAATACTCAACTTATTGTTTTGTGTTTCTTCTGGCATGTGTCGTGGTGATTTGTCGACGAGAGTCATTGTGGCATATTGTTCGCGTTGATTGGGGCAACGGAAGTCTCACTTAGTGGAATGACGAGATGGAATTCCAGTTTGATGTTCAGTGGGATCAAAACAATAAAGCAGAAAATCATTGTCTGCGATTGAGGGGGCAATTCATCACAGGAAGACACTTGGCATTCCTTTGTGGCAACTATTGTGGAACACTTTGTGATGTGCGTTTGTGTAAAGAAGGAAGCGGCAGAATGTAAAAGCAGATATAGATGAGCAAAATCAAATATAAATTTATATTATCATGCCCCTCATTTTTAGACATTTGGACTTTTAAAGAAATCGTTCAGAGATCAAAAGAACAGAGTTTATGTCATCGCATTTGAAATCAAGTTTTATTATTTCATGACACTTTTTTTTTGCATTCCACTAATTAATGAGGAAGGGAAGAAGCAGGGTTTTTTAGAACATGTGTCTAATTTATAAAGGGTATAGCAACAGAAACCAGGGCTGAGGAATTCATGCTTAATGGAAATTAAAGGCAAAGTCTTCACACTAACTAATTTGTTCATCTACAGATTAGATTTGTAACACGAGGATGACTGGGATTATATTCTAATAGTTTATTTCGTTAGCAGATTTCAAGTGTGGTTGTATGTGTCAATACAGAATAATGTATTTCTTTACATCTTACTCTCCATTCCTAGCAATAACACTCAAAGAATTCATTATTATTTCAAATATTATTTACATTTTCAAAGTTAAGAAAAGTGCATGAAGTCTTTCTTCTGTACAGTGTAAAGAAATAAGCAGTCACGTTTCTGTTCTTACTGTGCAATCATGAGTGAAATTACATTTTTATGTAGTTAAATTACAGGAAATGAAAAAGGACACTCTTTACAAAACTGGAATCAATTCTTCACGACAATAAATGTGGTTGGATCATGCACCAGCTCCACCCTGCTGCATTTTTCTCAATTATAGACATTCTATCTTACAAACAATAAATTACATCTGTTTCTGTAATTTTCAAAATGTTAATAGTACTTCATTCTCATTAATGATCATAGTGTTTTGTAAATGAAGGTGAAACCTTCGATATTTACACATTTCTTTTTAGATTAATCCAGTTTGAGCCCTTTTATTTATTGGGAGTTTTTACACTCAGGGTCCTCTTACCTTAAAAACTCTTTTTGTAGTCTTTCTGTTGCCAGGCTAAAATCTACAGCTTGGAGATGAAGGGCAGACCCTCGTACATGTCGGTTTTCAGCTTGGCCCACTCTGCCAGTCTCTGGATGGCGCCCTTCTCCTGGCCTAGCACGCTCGCCGCTTTCCTCAGCTTGGCCTCGTTTTTCTCCAGGTAGCGCTCGCCCTCACCCTTGAGGAAGTTCAGCTTCTCGATACGGCTCTCGTTCAACGGGATGTCCTCGCTCATGTAGGGGTTGAAGCGGAAGTAGGTGTCCGGGGGCAGGAGGGCGTCCAGCATGGTATGCACCTCTGGAACCAGGAGTTTTAAAGCTGTCAAAATCCCAGTCTAACCACAGGCAATTTTTTTTATTTTCATTATTGGTCTTAAACATACAATACAAAAATAAAAGACTTAAAACTCTGTCTCAATTCAGGGGCAGCCTCTCCCAAAGGACGGGGTCGACACTGTGTATTTTTCTATTTAGTTATAGCAGAGACGGGAAAAACTACATGTTTTTGATAATGTCAGTTCACAATTAAACAAAATATATAACATGGATTTAGTTGATATTTAGACATTTAATGAAGAATTGTTGCATTTTACATCTTTATAACTACATATTCAAACAATATTTCGTGTGGTCCTACCCTCTGTATCTGTGGCGCTGCTGATGACGTGGGAGAGCTTGGTCTTCAGGCTCGTGTAGGTAGTGTTGTTCTTGCCCGCCGTCTCGTGGCGTCCGGTGCCCAGAGACAACACGCACTGCAGAGGCGTGTTTGGCCACAGACACTTGCACTCATGGATGGCCAACGCTGTGGGGTTGTTAATCAGAAGTCCTCCATCCTGAAGACGAACAGAGACACACCTTCAGCATCTCTTCAGTTAAATACGTTTACTCACATAATTGCATAAAAGGGAACTTTGCATGTGTGACATGTGCCTCTGGTTTGAATATATTGGTTGTGACAGCCTGCAGGGGACAAATGAGGTGAAGAGGACACGCTGTCCCTGAGCTACACAGCCTCAGGACGGAGGAAAAGAAACAGAGATGTGCTACACTGGCAAACAGCTTTGTTTATTCAGGAGTAAACAAGTAAGAAAAACATGAATCAGCAGCTAAAATACCTCTTTTTGGGGGGAAATCTGGTCCAGGATTGACCTATGTAATTAATATAATAGCTAGGACTTAGCTTGAGTGATACATGATATTGCATTTCCCTATTCTAATCCTGACTGATTCAATTTAGACTCTTACCATTAATTATTTGCTTGCTTTTTTAATTGGTCACGTGCCGTCGTTTTCACTAAACAGTGTTGCTGACCTAAACGATGCCGACAACAGAGAGAAAGAGGCACAATCAGGCTGAATGGATGCCCGGGAACTGAATTAGAGCCAAACACTCCTAAGTCTTTCCCCCAGTTCTCCGCTGGAACTTATCCAACCGCTGAAGTGCTTTTGGCGAGGATTAGCGAAGATGGAGAGTGTGGCACACAAGAGGTCTGACGCTGCAGAGCGGAGCTGGGGTAAAGGTCGTTTCCATGCCTCTGGAGGTGGTGGGCAGGATGCATTTAAAAAAAAAAAAAAAAAAAACTTAAATCCGCTATTTCCTCCAGGCAATGTCTGTTTTTATGAAATAAAAATGCTAAATCATGTAGTTATAAATACCTGCATAACTTTAATATTTTGCTATGAGAAACTTATTTTGGATTCATGCAAACGTCTTTTTCCTCTGGGATCATTTCTGGACAATACAACTAAACTAAAGCGTCGTTCTTCAGCTGATTATGAAGCTGTTTTTACCCCCAGGCGAACGCAATAGAATCACTAGAACATTATTTGGCAGTTTGTGTTCACTCTTGAGACAGCAGGTTAATAACCAGCTGCTGCTTGGCGCTGACCTTCAACCTCTCGCCCCTGAGGGTCTCACCTAATGGAGGTTTTATATATATATAACAATAAACAAATGCAGGAAAATCATTGTGCAGTTTAATAACTGATTGACAGTGGGCGCTTAACAGTGAGCGCCCACTTTTAGAACGGCTCTGGTTCCGGAAGTACATTTTCTCTGTTGATATTAAAGAAAATCCTCACCAAAAAAAAACAGGCCGACCAGCTACTGTGGTAAACGTAATGTAAAACTGAACCATCCGATCGTAGCCAAGATAAGTTTTGTAGTTGTGGTAAACATTTCCATAGTTTTAAGCTCCACCAATCAGAGACATTGATTTTATGATTTTATTTTATATGTGGGCAGTATAGAATTTCTCCTTGACGATAATCAAACAGGTTTTTCTTAAGATGCAGTTGATATCTTTGGGACCTGTGGTTTCTACAGGGACATATATCACGTTTTCACAATATCCTATAGCTTGTGGTACGTCAAGCTTGGATGGTTACAATATTTTTGGCTGAAGTCGATTTTTACTTCCAAATTCATGCAGTTGAGCTCTATGTCTCTCTTCTCTGTGTTTAAGTATGTGTGTCTGTATTTTTGGTGCCGTGCATGGGAAATTTTCGCCTGAGAAATTCCGCTGCTAGTGCTGAAAACTAGAGCAGGAGTGAGACCGGTGGGTGGCGACGGTTGCTCAAACTGACAATAAAAAAAACTATGCAGCTCCAACAGGAATCTGGAGAACAACACACATACACACACACACACACAGACGTACGACTCATTCATGCCCGATCTTTCCATTCCATGCTGTTATCCCTGAGTCTGCAGGAAAAACTACGGAAAACAAAGGCCAGTCGCAAATCAAACAAATATATGTAATACAAGCAAATGGAAATAATCACTGCTTACATTACAAATTGAGATTAAACTCTTTATCAAAAAGGGCTCTGATCTCATGCTGTCTTTCATTTTACTTGAAATTGAAAATATTAGTTTACGATTCAAAGAATTTCATTGTCTCCTTATCGTGTCCGGAAAATTAGAATGCTTTTTGCGGCTGAAGGTTGCATTCCCAGTAGCTTGCTAAATTATTGGCTTTCCAGACAAAATAACTTTTGGGCCATTTATTTCAACCCTGATTCACAAGAATCGTAGCTGAGGTCAGTAAATATGCAGAGTGGGATTAGGGATTAAGGTTCTGTTATTGATTAGATCCTAGTTATGGGCCGTCTTCTGGGGTTCTTGCTTTAGGAAATGGCAGGGGAGAGTAATACTGGGAAAAGTAGGGATAAGGCAAATTTTGTCTAAGTAGGTTATCAAAATGAAGCTAAGCCTTGAGGATAATTGCTGCTTATAAAGACCCTCTAAAGATATCTGACCTAATAATCGAACTTCATGAAATAACACGTTAAACCGACTGTGTGTGAGCAGCTCCCAAAAGGCAAACCCAAGCGGTAAAAAAAAGATCAAAGTGTTCACAAGTAAAGTGCTTTTTTACTTCAGACACTTTTGTCCAGAATGACTTGTAATCCCTGCAACAGTACAGGAACAGCAGCAGCCTGGTTGTCGATCACTGACCGCTGACTTAACCCTAATTTATCATTCTCGTTCGTTTGTTTGGTCTTTGTCCCATCAACTAACATAGAGGAGGCAGGATTCATGGCCTATACTGCAGCTAGCCACCAGGTAGCAATAAATATTCTTTGGCTTCACTTTTGGTGAGCTATCATGGCTTCTATCTTTATATACAGTTTATAGTCTGTCTATGTGACTCAACAGTCAAGGAAAATTACATAACACTGTGTTTACATTATACAGAGAACCGCTATTTTTCACACTGTCCAAGCTTATTTCTGACATCAGACAGACAGTCCCTCTCTGTCCTTAGCGCCAGTCTTTTCAAAGACACAGCCACATAGCGGAAGTGTATTGATTACAAAGATTTAAAGAGATTTGACTTCTCAGATCACCATGGTGACCTACATGGTCATTTCAGACCACTTGCGATCATGTTGCTGCTCTGCCTTTTTTTCCATTCTGCAACCTCTTCTATTTTTCAAAGCCTAATATTTAAATGAACTGAAGTGATAGCCTTTCCCAGAGTTCTCTGCTTTGAGTCGTACCTGGTGAAGGTCCTTTCCGAGGAAAAATTCCTGGAAGTAGCCCGGAGCAGCAGACGATGCCCTGATGGCCTGCCACATTTTGTATTTGCAGTCTCCAGGGTAGTGGGACCTCACTCCAGGCATGAGTCTGTAGTTCCTGAAGACATAGGCCTTCAGAGGTAAACCCCTGTTCACAATGGTGCTCACTGCTGACACCTGGTGGATAGAAAAGGTTATTAAATACTGTGCCAATCGTCTCCATTTTTACAACATTTAAACACATTTATTGTTAAAAATAATTCTAACACCTGGAATATAATGGGTGTCTGTGAATGTCTGTATGTGTATATAACAAATACAAAAACACAATTATCCCATGCACAAATATATACATACACGGTTGTGACTTACTTTTGGGCAGTGTGGGTCTCTGGCACTCTCAATCATACAGCCCTCACCCATCCGTTCCCTGGAGAAAACACAAACATTGATTTCACAAAAGCGCAGTTTAAACTACCCCAGCATGCAGCTATTTGAATCACTTATTTTGGGCAGCAGGGAGGAGATTTCATGACATGAAAAACAAGTCCTGCAGACTAACTTGAGGATGTTTTCCCAGATTTCGCTGTCGTAGAAAGCATGGCTCCAGCCCATCTTGACTGTTCCAACAATAACGTTCTGCTTGAACACATCCGAGCCCAACTTCCTGTACATGTCCTCACACTCTTCTAGGGGGATTTGATAAATGCCCAACATGAAGGCCAAGATGGCACCTAAAGGAAAGGAGCAAGAAGCAGTTCACATTAAATCACATGTGGAATCAAAGATGGTAAGATAATTAAAGTCACCAAATTACTAAGCAGAAATGTACCTGTGCTGACTCCACAGATGTAGTCAAAGAGCTGATGGACTCGTTTCCCGGTCAGTTCCTGCAATTTATGTAGAGTTTGAAGGGCCAACAGTCCCCTGTAAAAAAGAGTATTGTATTAGAACTAAGAAACATGTGGAGATTTGTATTTTTCTCTGGAGCAATTAGTTTTAAGCACCACTGTTAATTTCACTGAGCAACAGCGCCCTCTGTAGCCATATGTGGTGATTCATTTTGTTGGTCCAAGCAATTATGTGGTTTTCAAGAAAAAAACCTAGTCCCACTCACTGAACTGAAACATAACTGAACACTGGATATGATTTTATGATATAATTATGATCCCCTGCTTCCTGAACCAGAAGAGCTGCTGCTGTAACAAATACATCAAACCCTGTTTAGATTATCACTAATTATCTGAGATAAAAGCTGGTTTTCAACAACTTCTAAGTCTATTTTTCACTGATCTGCATTTCTCTTGAACTTGCTGGATCGTATTCCGGCAATTTATCCTCCAACTTTCAGTCAGTTTCATACTTCTCACAGGAGATCGTACCCACTCACTAAAGTTACATACAGAGAGAACAGAAGTTCATTTTCAAGCTGCTGTTCTGAGGTAAAAACAATTGCACAGTCTTGCTTTAATACTTTCCTAGTTGTCAGTACAACAGTATTGCACACACAGAAAATGATGGTCAGCATCTCTTTTCTACAGCCACAGTAACAGTTACAGAGGAAGATTGAATAATTTTATATTTGTTGAGTTGTTTTTAAATTTAATTTGGGAAATGTCTTAGAATCTGTACCTCGTCCCTCCTCCATCTATGGCCAGGACTCTGATTCCTCTGCCTTTGACTGGTTCTGTGTACCCTACCAGAGCCAGAGCTTCTCTCACAGCAGCCTGGAGAGGAAGATCTCTGGCCTGGCGCAATCGCAGCAGGCAGGGCAGCGCGCTCGCCTAAAGGACAAATATGGTGACAACTAAATTTACAACTTTGTACATTTAAGGACTATGCAACCTATCCCACAAAAATCTCACTAACCTTGATAGCTACACCTCGTGTCTCCGGGAACTCCAGGAGATGATGGCCGAGTTCCTCCACGCGACTAGTAAGGAGTTTGGCGTCCGTGACCCTCAGCAGGCCTTTCACCAGAGCTCGGGTCCTGTTGTCTACACTTACCCTGGCGATTATCTGCATGAAACATACACAGCATGAACAAAAGATAAACACATCTTGTAAATATAAGGCCTCTAATACATTTTACTTATCTATACTTTTTCAGGGCCTTACATATTTACCTACGAGCCTTTTTAAAAGATTTTGACATTGCTGATGTTTTTATCATTTTGCTTTTTTGACTCTCCTCAGCATCAGTGCCCCTTACCTTCTGCCTTTGAGTCAACAGCTGTCGCTTCATTTCATCCGTTTTCTCCTGTTCATCTGTCTTGTCCCCTCTTTTCTCACCAGCGGGCTCTTCCACAGCGACCGCCAAAGCCTTGTCTTTTTCAGTTGTCACGCTTTTGGAATCACTTCTGAATTTTGGGACCAGTGGTGCAATGTAACTGCCAACAAAAGCCTGAACACTGGGCCGAGGGTAGGACAGGTAGCGGGTGAAGCCTTTTTTAGCAGAGGTAGTAGGCACAGGGATGGGTTGAGCTAGGTTTTCTGTTGCAGGGGTGTCAGAGGAGGGCACCTCGACTGGAGGACTGTGCTTTTCTGATGGAGGCGTAGTTGGTGCTTCAATATTCTTGGCCTCCGCCACCGGAGACAAAATAAGAATGTTTTCCCCTGTTCTCTGAGGGGCAGGGTGAGGAACAGGCTCGGAAACGGGAACATCACCTCCTGTGTCCTGCTGCAGCGGCCGGTTCTCTCCATCTTCTCCCTGTGTGTTGGTACCAAAGTAATTATTGATGTGCTGAGCCAGAGTGTTGTAGGTCTCATCCATGTTGGTTGTAAGAGCTGCCGGGTGAAACAGCTGCATAGTTTGTTTTGCCACAGAGGTGGATGAGCCTGGGGCAGACACATTAGCCGCTGAAGCTAAACCAGATGTAGACTTATTGGTGGCAACAAAAGGATTTTCCGTGATTTGGGGACTTTGCTTGTCTAACTCTTCCTCTGATGTGTTCTTTTCACCTCCATCCTGATCTTTCATAGCGGGTTCCGTTTTTTCTGCATGGGTGCTCCCGACTGTGGCGCTACCAGGCTTGAGGCGGGAGAACTTTGCGATGAGGTCGGTGCTGCCTACTGCCTTGGTGACACTATCAAGCGTGGTCCTGATCCGAGACATGCGTCTGCTCACTAGGAACAAGAAGAGGTTTACTGTGTAAAAATTTGTTGGGAAGGTCATTATTGCAAATGATTATTATTATGGACATCAACACAGTGCCACCTGCTGGCGAAAGGAAGTGACATGTTTTATACTTTGATGCACTGCTCCTGGCTGCATGCAACACTGAGCTGTTTCGCCCGGTCCCTGTCCGCTCTCCCCTGCAGCCCCATTAGGTTCCGAGATTGCACATGCTCATGCCTACACAGTGCTGCTCGCAGCCTTAGTTATTATTATTATTTTTCAGGCAAATGAATTGCCTTTTGGAGGGCTTACACAAGTGAGAACTTTTCATTACTTAATCAATAAATTGGCTATCTTTTCCCTTCCATTGAAGGATGGTGCCCCAAGGTAGCTTGAATGTCAATTAACACAAAATGTTATTTAAAATTTTTATTTTTTAAATTAATATTTAATATTTTTCCAAATTCATTGAATGTCCAAAGGCACACCATTTAATGGTTTTCTCGAGGAGAAAATATTAGTAGCAAATGAGTCTTTTTAAGGTGCATTATGCCCATCTATTAGCTATGTCTGCAATGACTGTTCTTCTTCCTTAAATGTATGACAATACATACAAGTTAAATGCTATTATCTGCCTTTGATCATTTTTTTGCTAGTAAATGGCATGCACTGCTGAACTAATGCTCGCAGCTTACAGCTCGGAACTGTAAGAACAGTAGAAACCCTGTCCACAGTCATTAAATCGCTATATGACATAGTTAATGGTCATTTTAGGAATAATATAAATCACCAGAAGAAAAAAAGAGCCCCCAGGACACAATCTCATTGAACCTCCTGGACCTTCAAATACAGACTGACTCACAAATACAGAGCTGCGTGTGTGATTTTCCCTCAGTGGTGGAGAGACAACCTGCAACTCAATGTAAGAGAAAAAGAATCAGTCAGACAACCGCTTGAGGCACATGACGACTGTAAGAGTATTTTGAGGAGTACACAGTAAACTCTCTAGAAAGTTTGTGAGATGGGTTTTAGGACACCGTATTAGTTCAATTTCCTGCGGAAAGATGCTTATTGAGGCAACTGTCTACGAAAACTTTGAAACTGTTTTCACTCTGCTTTACGATTCATAACTGGTGATAACGTCATTACTAAACTACTGTCCCTCTTCAGACAGTGCAAACAGAAAGAGGACCAACAGAGGGCTCCATCGAAGGCCTTGGTAACCATAGAAACTCCTAGCAACAAAAACGGATGGTGACAACAGCTTTCACAGAGCAGATCACAAATAAGTTGCTTGATCGAAACATGGAAAACCGTGCATCGCCATCCAATGTGAGTTTCACAGCAGAGTCAGCTCAGCTTATGAAAATCCTGCTGGAGAGACACACTCACACCGGGGATCAGGAGGAAACCCCTGAGACGACGAGTGTGGACTGGGTGTCCAGCGAGGACTTCACGGTCGACGAGGGGAAGAGACAGATCGGGGAGCACATCCGAACCTGGGAGCTGCAGCCCCGCTGGTTCCACAGCCTGGATTTCCTCTGCACGACCGAGGAGCAGCATCTCACCTTCCACCACTACCGGGCCCGCTTCAGCACCCCGACCCCGAGGGAGCCGATCCAGGGGACGGCTTGCGTCTACTTTGTCATGTGCGAGTCTAAACTCAGAGCCCGGGATCAGCCCGTGGAAGTGGGCTTCGTGGTGGAGTCGAACAGGCTGGTGCACAAACCCGGAGCCACCAGGTTCACGGAGAAGTGGCTGTTGGAGGTGATCGAGAGCAAGGCTGCGCTGCGACATGCGGCAGAAGCACCTAGATCAGCCCCGAGAGCCACATCCAGCTAGCAAGTGTTAGCTCAAATGAAGTCTATTAAAATGAAAACGACTCGCTAGCAGCTTCTGAATTGTTTCCCCAACAGTTACTGCATCGTCAAATGTGAGCGAGTTTCCAAACTATTTCCAGCAGCCGCATTCATGAACAGACACGTTTTATTTTAACACATGTGCTTATTTAAATGGCAAAACACCGCTTGAGCGTGCTGTTAGAAGGCTAGCTTGCTAACCACACGACTTAACGTTTGCTAGCCACATGCTAATTAGCCTCTGCTAGCCTGGTGAATGCGGTGTTTTCCACGCAGTATCACGCATGAAACCGCACAAGTCTTTTTCTTACCTTACACGACACAGAGCGCAGCCGAAATGTTTCATTCTATGAGAACCTGGTCGGAAAAAAATAAACAGGAAGTAGACAGGAAGTGACGCAATAGGCCTGTTTTAAGGGGCAATGTTTTATTTCTGTCGTAAGGTGTCGACAAACACCTTTATCATTGACAGAAAATACTTCTATTCAAATAAATGTGGGCCCGTGAATTACAATTTTCTGCATTATTTGTCCGGATTTTTTTATTTGCATTTGCACCAATAATTAAATATCAGTCCCCGTAACATGTCTGTTTTTCTTCCCATCAATATCCATGAATTATTCTGTGAAATTGTCGCAAAATGCCCTGAAGAAAGTGGGGATCCCCTGATGTGGAGCCACACAAAGATTTAATTGGGGTCTTTCCTAACCTATAAGATGTGGTAAATCACAACAGGGTTTGCAAAATGACAGCAATATGTGAAAATACATGTAACACGTCATCAATTAAAAATGCACCAATGTAGCAGCAGGGCGGCGAGAGTCCGTAACTGAAAAGTAAAATTGCAAACTGAAGGACAAGCAGCGTGTGAACATGCAAACCAGATATTTAGATTTTCTAAAACCTTTGTAGTTGTACTAAATTATAAAAAGTACCTCCAATGGAAATAAACAGAATCTAAGAATGAATAGAATCATGAATATTGACATTTATAATACATCCCACAAACATGACATACTATTATCGACTGGGTAACAAAGGTGAAGTCTATAAAACACCAGACCAGACGATGAAATACAAGGATGGAAGACAATGCATAAGAAAACCAGCAAAAGAGCCATTATGTAGATAAAATGTGGTGTTGATCACGTCATAGAACAGAAGATCAGGATAGGTTTCAGCAACACATTGAAACAGATCATTGAAAATCAATCAAACATGATGAAATACAACAGCTGCAAATACTAAAGAAAACCAGCAAAAGAGACATTGACAAGGAAGGACACGGTGGTGATCACACCAAAGTCCAGAGAGTCAGGAATTCATACCGACAAGCCACTGAAAATAAGATTTGAAACAATAAAGGAAATAAAAAGATAATCAGGAAAATGTCACAGACTAACAAGTATCAATAAAGTTGTGTAAAATCAGGCACAATCAGTATCTCTGTGTTTTATGAATGGTATCTATAAAAGCATGTGCAAAATGTCTGCAAAAATGACTCAATAGTAACAATGTAAATACATACACATCCAGAATATATGTCCAAAATCAGAGCAACATGGATGAAATATAATCTTCTAAAACTTTCTGCTTCTCCTTGAAAACAGCCCCGTCTCTCTTCAGGAGCGCTACCTCAGTCTCGAGAGCGTGGATCTTAGCCATGGTGCTCTCCTCCCTGTGATCCAGTTCCAAGATCTTTGCATGCAAACTCAGGATCTTGCTCCAGAGCTGATCTTCGTCCGTGTCCAGTCTGCAGTATGAGTGCTCGTCAACAGAAACGTGCTCTCCCTCACCAGGTCCCCTTTCCTCCAATGAACAGCTCTGTGGTTTGTCCTTAACCATTTCCACTGTAGCGAAGCTGAAAACCTGGCCCAGAGCTGCTTGGAGGGCCGCTGCGTCCACGTTTGCCTCTCCATCTGAGAAAGAGCTCAGCGACTCACAGCACAACACAGTCACAGCAGCATCAGCAGGCTCTTCAGCGTGGGTCTCGTCACACCGAGACACAGCGAGGCAAGACGCTGTTGGCATTTCACCTTCTCCTAGTACCTCACAAGCAGCTGTCTGTGTGTCTGACACCTGTGGCAGATCAAATATCATCTGTGTGTGTTCTGCAACACTGTTGTTTGTTGGTTTTGACTGGAACTTTTTGCACATTCTCCTCAAAATTATCGGCCTCCCACTGAGAGCGGAGTCAAACCCTGTGGGCTCAATGTCAGCATCTAAAGTCCTGGGTCTGGTCTTGGGGCTCCGCACTCTTTTCTCACCATCCTGAGAGCAAAAATGAAAGGGAGAGTTTATTAAATGAGACAATGCAAAAGACAGCAAAGTGCAAGCATAGACGAAAACACTGTAACAAGCAACATGATCTAGAAAACAGAATTCCCCTGCAGAGTTGAATAACTGACGAACGCCACAAAATCACAATGCAAGAGAATGAAAAATCTAGGACAGATTTGTTGCTTAACCCTGCAAGAGAAAGTTGCTTCCATTCTACTGGTGTTCTTCCTCTTGCAGAAGAGTTGGACAGGGACTAAATTTGCAGCAAGTCCTGGGAAAAAAAGACAGCAGATACACACCTCTTCAGTGGAAGGAAAAACAGTCGGTACTGCCGTGTTCTTCAGGTAGCGGATGCCCCATCGAATATCAAAGCAGTCCTCTGTGAAGTGCTCGCTGCACAGGCACTGGTGGCGACTTGGGGTCCACTCCTCCCGCCTCATGTTATCCACCCATCTCTGAAGCCTGGGCTTATCTTGTAAGGGAAATCTTAAGGGGGTTGAAGAAAGAGAGGTGTTAAGTTAAGAGCTGTTAAATTAAATCTACAAAAAAGATTTTCCATGTGGCATGATTTGGACTGTATTAAGCACATTCTGATATTTCATATATTCCTAATATTTTGTAAGCTTTTAATGGGATATGATCTTATAATTTGTTTAGTTTGATATGTGCCTGACACCTTGCTGCTGCAACACAGGGATTTTCAAGTTTATGACCTATAAAGTCCATCCATCCATTTACATTTATTCCAACAGTTTATCCATGTATAATTACAATTAGGTAAACATGACATACAGTACAAAATACAACTAAAATACCCTTGCTACACAACACAAAAACTAATGATTACAATACAGAAACAATACAGTCATAATAATAATAGAGAGAAATAGTTTGGCACGCATCAGGGGGATACCATCCGATTGTAGCTAAGATGTTTCATTCCACTAACATCGCATTAACTGGCTCGATGGTTAATATCATCTTGACGCGCAAACACTGAAGTGCATGCAGACAAATCATGTCACCTCAGAGAGAAACCAAAACAGAGAACATACGGGTAGAAGCTAATTCTCTTGTTGTCTTGTCTGGATGAGCTGCCCCCGCGGTTTCTGCAAGCCTTCACAGCGCAGTACCGCGGCATGTCTGCAGCCGAACCACATGAAAACGTTATTCACACACGTTTGATCTGAGAAATGCGTTCACAACACAACACCTCAAAACACTTTCACTTCCGGTTTGTAGCTCTCCTAGCGGAAATGATTAATATCAAGAGCGTTGATGTACCTTCCGCGACTCTTAAAATGATGCACGGCTACAGAAGTCTGAGCGATTCCGTATAATAACATTAGTTACGCATCTTCTTTTAATCACTGACAATAATTTTTATGCTAAAGGTGTTAGGGAATATAACCCAAGTTAGCGGGATGACAGTGAAAACGATGTTCAAGCGCCGCGCCTCAAACGAAAAGCGAAGGCGGAAGTAAAAAGCCGCTCGTCATCTCGCTCGTGTGGCACCGCGCCCACCTCACCGCCCTCGACGTGCGCGGCCGGGCTCCGCCAATCAGCGCGTCGCGCGTCACCGTCGTCCGCGAACGGACCAATCGGGTTGCGAGTCGTGGTGTTCGGGCTGAGGAATGCGACTCGTCAACAAGCGTCAGCCTCGGATCAGCTGGAGCCGCAGAGAAGTTCAGCTCCTCTCCAGGTGAGCTCGCGGTTACTGGACGGGCCACGTTCATGTCGTCGAGCCGACGTCTGACAACTGAAGTGCCGCTGACGAGGCAGAGCTGAGTCGAGCTGCATCCGAACTGTGAGTTGTCTGTTTCTTGAGCTGACGTCTTTGTTGTGTTTGTTTTTTTCAGACTGGCTGGTGAAGTAATGCTAACAAGTAAAAGCTGTGAATCATATTCTGTCTGTCATTGAAGCCATTGTAGAAAAAAAGGAAGATGTATATTACACAGTGCACATCCTGTTATTAAACCTAGAATACAGCTTCATTTGCTAGCAAAGTAACTCTATCAAATAAAGCTCTATAATCACATCACTGCTGTCATTGGACCGATTATCTCGTTGTGTTTACTGGTAAAGTAATGCTAATAAACAAAGCTATGTATCCTATATTGTTACTGTCATTGGACCCATTATCTGGCTGTATTTGCCAACAAATAAAGCTGTAAATGATATATCCTGGCTTTTATTAAACCAATTATACAGCTTCATTTGCAAGCAAAGTAATGCTAACAAGTAAAACTCTATATCATATATTCTGTCTGTTTTTGAACCCACTATCATGCTTTATAACTGTTATAACTGTTATAACAGCATCTTTCTTTGTGTCAGAGGTGTGTGAACGGTCCCTAACTGAGGTGTCAAACTGCTTTCTTCACAGTTGCTGAGGTGCCAAAAGAAAGTAAAGAAATCAGCAGTATGGCCACAGCTCAGTCGGTGTTGCTGCTAGCGGTGCATGTCCTCCTGATCTCAGAGTTCATCCTGGCCAAGAGGGACTATTACGACATTCTGGGGGTTCCCAGAGACGCCACCGAGCGCCAGATCAAGAAGGCCTTCCACAAGCTGGCCCTCAAGTACCACCCGGACCGCAACAAGGGCCAGGACGCAGAGAACAAGTTCAGAGACATAGCAGAGGGTATGTCAGTCATTTCTATACAAAGTGGGGCAGATATTCTTTTTAATGACTGGGTACACTCTGTTAGATATTTAATACCAGATCTCTCCTGTGACATAAGATTTTTGAACATATTTTAGGAATAAGAATTAAAGAACTAAAGTAAACCCAGTGGCCAGTGTTTGAGGATACAATCTTCAAGAGGAGCGTCTCAGTTATTCTCTGAAAGACGCTCTTCACAGTCATACCTGTCATAACCTGTTCGTTTTGTCAGGTGACATATGTTGTGTTAAACTGAGTGAACAAGTTTAAGAACCTATTTATAGACTCCTTGACATATCGAGGCCGCACTGGGAAAGATTTTACATGGAAAATGAAAACAATGATGGTTTTCAGCTTTTGTTGACAGTGAGTAGATGATAAACATTGCTTAATTTTTTAAAGTTGAACTAGAAATGTGCACAAAGCGTCAGTGACCCCCATTCAAACTTGGTATTAGCATCCATCCTGAGTGATCCATTTACAAGTGGTCAGCTTCAAATACAGGTCTGAACACACCCGAATGCGTCATAATTGTGTCCTGAGATCCAATCGCACAAATGATACTTGCCACATTCTTTTCACTGTGTGAATGCAAATCTGTTCAAGGCCACATAGGAATGACGGCCATGACTCAGACATGCTACAGTGTAAACATATTATAATGCTTCTCAGTGTCGTGGCCATCGCCACAATATCAACACTGATCACCCCATAATGATTGACATGTCTGTTGAATAGTCAAATCTTTCTTCTTAGTTGCACACATTCATTCAGTTAGTCCCCCTCGACACTGCTCGCTCTCTTTCGCTCCCTCCTGACACATCTGTAAATTCAAACTGGGTAAAAACATAATTTGGTCTCTTTAAACACAAATGTCAGTCATGATTATTTGTATAGAGATCAGGAATACAGATTCGATAGCAAGTGGTCACAAGAAACACAAGGACATTTAAATGCCAGGTGTGAACACATGTCAGCAACACTGTTCTACTTAACTGGCACGTTTGAACAAAGCCAGTGTCATAGCAACCAACTTAAGTGACTTATGTGTCTTTATTCCCTCCAGCATATGAGACATTATCTGACGATAAGAGGCGGCGAGAGTATGACCAGTTTGGCCATGGCCCATCACCAGGGGAGGGCCATGGAGGAGGAGGAGGAGGAAGCGCCTACAACTTCAAACAGCACTACCAGTCCTTCAACTTTGACGACATTTTCAAAGACCATCACAACCCTTTTGGTCAGCAGCAGCAACACCAGCACCACCAGCACCACTTCCACTCGCACTCCTTCACTCAGAGCCAAGAACACCAGAAGAGACACTTCGACAGCCACTTCCAGGCCCACCGCGAGGCCATGAACAGGCACAACAGACAGTTCCAGCAGCAGAGGGCCTTCGGTGAAGGACTCTTCGATGACGTGTTTGAGGACTTGGAGAAGATGTTCTCCTTCCACACGCACAGCGCCAGGACTGACGGCGGATTCCAGAGCCAGGGAAAGCAGCAATGCAGGACAGTTACGCAGCGGAGGGGGAACATGGTGACCACCTACACTGACTGCTCCTGAGGCGAGCAGAAAACGGCGTGCTCACAGAGGGCAGCTGTTTAGGACACTGCTGGGCTTTTACTTGTGAATTTTCGAATTGATTGCTAATTTATCACTCGGTGGAATAGAGAATGGTTTTGTGTGGCTTTTTTTGTGTAATTTCCTGTGTGTAAGGAACAAATATCCAAGCCAGCCTAGTGAGCGGCTGCTTCCAAGCAATAACTTACTCACATTACTGCTCGTAGCATATGTTTTGGTTTCACTCAGATACCTCCCCATTATTTAGCTTTTCAGGTTCATTTTGTGTACTTATTCATTTGTTTTATGATTGACTAGACTCAGGTATGGCCTAAAGTCAAAAAATTATTTTTTCTTTTGTGAGCAGAGAGGCAACAAGATTGATCAAACATCAGTAATAACCCTGTACAACATTCATTCTGCAACTTATTAGGCCATACTGTACACAACATTTTTGCTGATATAAGACCAGGCGATGCTGAATTTAGCATCGTGTTCTAATCAATTTTTCTTGGTTTTTGATCCTGAGCTTAATGATTCAAGTACACACATTTGGATTTATAGCACTTCTGCTGTGAAAATTAACCTTCACATCCCGAGATGTGCACGGGTTGGCCGTAATCAACCGTTACCTCGTTTTTTAGTTTCTTTCTACAAAGCTGTCTACCGTCTTCTTCAGTCAGGTCAGTCCCACTGCAAACACTGGTTCACTCAGCCACTCAGCTGTTCAACCAGTTGTTTTGATCGTCACAAAATCCAGGCGTCATCTCTCAGTATGAAAAGTTTCCTGAACTGAAAATAATAATGTGCAATATTTAGTAACCTTTTGCTCTTCATGATGCCTATCTTTCATAGACAGTGCTATGTTAATGTCATTGTCTGATGTCCGCACTTTGTGTGTGTGTGTGTGTGTGTGTGTGTGTGTGTGT